TCAGACCTTTGTATAAGGATAAATTAGAAATAAATGCATATTACAAAAGGGAACAGTAAGGAAACTTGCTTATCTTGAACTTTTTGCTGAGTGGAGGGTAGAGGAAGACTTCCTTGAGAAGTTAAAATCAATTTTTATTTGGGCACAAGGCTGCCTAGAGTACAGATTATATTTCCCTGTCTTCTTTGAAACTAGATGTGATCATTTGACTGTACGTTCTGGCCAATGGAATATCAACGGAAGTGATGCTTGTATTTCATTCAGGACTCTTCTATGTATGTTCTAAAATCAGATTTATTTTTAATGTTCTTCTCTTGTGCTGAGCTTGTCTGGTTTGAGAGTTCTTAGAAAGGGAAAAAGGTATTGAGTGACTCCAAGGAAGTGAGAATCAAGAGGTGAATGATTCATGGCAGCACAATTTACAGTAGCCAAGATATAAAAGCAACCTAATGTTTGTCAACAGACGATTGGATAAGGAAGTTGTTGTTCATACAGACAATGAAATATTTCTCAGCCATTAAAAAAATGAAATCCTACCATTTGCAACAACACGGATGGACCTAGAGTGAAATAAGTCAGACAGAGAAAGATAAATACCATATGATTTCACTTATATGTAGAATCTAAGAAACAAAAATAACAAACTAATCAAAAAGAGACTCAGAGATATAAAGGACAATCTGGTGATGGCCAGGGGGGAGGGGGCTTGGGGATCTGGGAGAATGAGGTGAAGGGTTAAAGAAGTACAAATTAATAGTTGATAGTTGGTCACGGGAATGGGGAGCACAGCACAGGAAATGCAGTCAGCATTACTGTAATGGCTAGGGGGAGAGCCAGAGGAGAGAAAGAGCAATTAGGGAGATGGTTTTGTAAACTATATAAATGTCTAACCAATGTACTGTATACTTGAAACTAATAAAATAAAATTTTTTAAAAAAAGAGGAGAATGAAACATGGAAAGGATGTCACAGAAACAGAATGTTCATATGAGCAAAAGGGATTCTTATTCTTTAAAGAAAATCCCAGCCCTGGGATCTTCTAAGTTTCAGCCAAGATAGCTGCCTTGAAAAAGAATAGCTGCCCTAATTAGTGATGGAATGTGAAGGGAGAAGAGGTGAATTATTTTTGTCTTCATTCCAAAGTTATCTGGAACATTCTGTGGGCTGGAAGCGGGGAGAGTTTTGGGTTGTTATTCAGAAAGGAGAAAAAATTGTGAGTTTGTGTGTTTGAGATAGGTCCAATACAATTTAAATATTTCTTGAACGATCTCTTTTCCTGAATGTGCTTGTCAGAGCTCATATTTCAAATAGGCCTGAATTCAACCTAAATCCCTTCTGCATTCCTCAGTTACTCTTCTCATCTAACTTGCCTCTCTGTGCTCCTCAAAGGAGTCTCATGTGAACTGCAAATCAGTACCTGGTCCTTAAGTGAGACTGCCTCCCCACTTCACACTTGCATAGCTCTGGGCTCAAGGCCACAGTGCTGGTTTGAGTCAAGGCGGGACTGGTTAAAGGAATTCCTTTATCTGGGGCGTAACTGCTGACTTAAGGACTCTATTCCAGTCCCAGCAAATAGTAAAAGATAAAATACTCGTGAAGCCCTTTCTACCCCACAAATTCACAGCTCCAGATATATCCCTCTTTATCCTATCATTAGGTCAAATACTATGAACACCTACATGTTTGTCAATGTTCTAGATTAGCAGTTTTCGAAATCTTTTTGCTAGTATATACCACATAAAAGTTTTAAAAAGTATGTGCTCCTTCATACATTTCTACTTTGACAACTAGAAATTTCTCATAAAATTTCATTTAGGTACATAGCTATAATTCCTATATATTAAAATTTTGACATAAATTTAACTGTTACATCATTCTTTTAAATGTCTCCTATAAATCCAAATACTATGGTGATTTTAGGTTGACTAACACAACCCATCCATTTAAAAAATACACAAACCAGCTTCTCATTATATTTTTATTTATATATTTTTAAACAACCTCTTTAACAATGGGAAATTTTATATTACTCTTTCTTCTCCTTAAAATCATATTTCCAATCCACCCTCGCCCAGATTTTTATCCTAATGTAACATATATTTTGCTTGAAAGTTTTTGTCACTTCTCATAATTCTTTGCAACAAAAAAGTTGACATTTTCATTTTTCATTTTTTTTATTTCCTGTGACCATAAGGCTCTACCTATTATAAATTAAAATTATTAGTAGTACAAAAATTGAAATGTTATTAAAAGAGCTTTAAACATTATTGATATCGATTTATTATTATTATTATTAATTATTATTATTTATTTATTTTTTTAAAGATTGCAAGGAACTTGTCAGCTTACAATCCCTCATTTTTTTTATTTTTTATTTTTTATACCTACAACACCTGGTCTTCCAAGGTGCGACATAGATTTATTTTTAATCTTGTAAAATAAATAAAGTATTTTAATTTTTTCCCCAACTTTATTGAGAAATAAAATATTTTTAAACATCAGGTTGACTCATACCAGTCACTCTTCCACTCAGAGTCAATGTTCTTTTTCCCATACAGCATGTCTCAGGGGCATCAGGAGCATCGATGAAGCAGCATTTCCTAAAAAACTGCTCCACTAAGGCCTCAAGAGTTTTCTTCTAGGTAGCTGACATCTGTTCTTCATTTTGAGTCTGATACTTTCTTGTTTTTACCAGAAGGTGTCAGGCAAAGACAACTATGGCAAAATCATTACCTGGTCTAAACAGATGGTAACATGAATCAGATTTCAGAAATATTAACATGTGGTGAGGGATGGGAAAGAGCATCTTAGAATCAGTGAAGATGTGAGGGCTAAAAAAAGTAATACTTTTCCTCCCACCCTCTAAGTTCTTCTAGCTGGGCTAATAATCAAATTAACAGAGACAGATTAACAGGAGAAAATCAGTTTTAATACATGAGCATAGAGAATTCACGTAGGCATGAAAATTCCAAAGAAAACGAGGTAATATTGGGTATATAAAGTATTTTGGACAAAAGAGAAGGTGGGGGAAGAGATCTGAGATTTCGGAAGTGAGAGTGAAAAATTTACAGGTAATTGAGGAAGAGCAGAATGGACGTGGCAGGCAAATTCTTACTGTGCAGCTCTGAAACAATGGGACGTAAGGGGTATCTAACTAACAGGCACCAGCCTGGTGTCGTCTTATTTACCGTACTTAATTCAAATTAGGCTAAGGCAGCATTCCAAGATTTCTCTGTCTGAATCCCTTGTGCAGGAAAGGGGGGAGAGTCAAAGGTTCTTTCTGAGTTTGATTTCCTTAATAAACAGCTTAAAAAGCAATACACAAGCAATACGCCAAAAACAGTTTTGGTTCCCTTCAAAGTATAGTACTGTAAAAGGGAAGGTAGGAAAGGAAAAGTTTATGAAGCCAAGACAATGCAAATGGACAGTAGGGATCTGGAAATTGACTCTCAAACTATCTGTGCCTTTTGTATACTTTTTGTATACTTTGGATGGTGTACCCAGTTTGAAGACCAGGTCCAAGAAGAGCAGTTCTTAAGCTCAGGATCTTAAAGAGTGTGGAAGACATCAAATAGCATTTGTTTATGTGGATTATATCTATTTACTGTGTCAATAACTAAAACAGATAGTGATTTTATATCTTTTGGTATATACCCAGAACTGGAATTGCGAGGTTACATAGTAGTACTATTTTTAAGTTTTTGAAGAATCCTCTATAATGTTTTTCAAAGTGGCTGCACCAATTTACATTCCTACCAGCAGTACACAAGGGGTCCTCAGGAATAATTTCCTGAATCTCAAGGTGTTTCTGTTTTTAGCTCTTTGAATGGTAACCTTCTCATCCCAAACTAATATCCCTGTACAGGTATTCATTGAATTATTAAATGTTTTACATTTTCCTTTTACTTCCTGCTTTGGTACATGAGAAATTATACAAGTTCCTTAGCTCTCTGCCTTTCTTCCTTCTGCCTCTTTCCTCCAAATAATCACTATTTTCATGTTCTTTATTTTCAGAGGGAATGTCTTCTGGCCACATTTTATCCACAGCGATCTTTATTTGGCCTGTGCCATTTTTTAACATTGACTGTCTTTAGATGGAGTAATAGTGCACACTCACTACTGTCTGCTATGGTTCTTACTGCCCACATTGCTTCATACCCTGCCTTCTTCAGTCACTTGTATCACCTGTCTACTTTCTATAAGAATTTACTTATATAACTGCCGCGACCTGCATGGCTAGAGTGTTAATATACCTGAGAGGGGGCAATGGAAGGATGAAAAAAAACAGAGACAATATATACAAAAGCTGGGGCCAGGTAGGACACTGCACTGTGATGAAGATACAGTGACCCTGAGGCAAACTCAACCTGTTTATTATATACAACTAGAACAAGGAGGGGATGGGAGTCTTGTTCTCGGAACTTGAGACTTGATGGCAACAATAATCTCTCAGAGGTCTGTCTTGTACCCACACATCTGTGCTAAACCACAAGCAGCCATTTATTCTTTGTTTGCTTCTCTGCCTTTGGCAGATTGCTACAGTCAGGCATGGCTTTGCTAATGCTTCGACTACGGGTCAGGCTCAGATCCAGCTCTCTACATACAACTTTAGCTAATATCTACACTTCCTTGTTTCTTCAACTATAGAGAATATTTCTTGAGTCCTATATTAGTTTTCTATTGATGCTGTAACAAATTACCACAAATTTACTGGCTTAAAACAACACAAATTTATTACCCTACAGTTCTGGAGGTCAGAGTCTGAAATGGGTCTCACTGGGCTTAAATCAAGGTGTTGGCAGGGCTGTGTTTGTTTCTGGAGGCTCTAGGAGAGGCTCTAGGTTCTAGATGCCACCTGGATTTCTTGGCTCATGGCCTCTTCCTACATCTTCAAGGTCAGCAACAGCTGGTTGAGTCCTTCTCATGCTGCCATCTCTCTGGTTCTCTCTCTTCCACCTTTTTCTTCCATATATAAGAAGCTTATGGTAACGTTGTGTTTACCTGATTAATCCGGGACAATCTCTCCATCTCGAAGTCAGCCTATTAGTAAACTTAATTCCATCTGCACCCTTAACTGCCCTTTGCTGGTAACCCGACATATTCATAGGTTCCTGGGATCAGGACGTGGACATCTTTGAGGAGCCATTATTCTGTCGACCACAACTCTCGATTTAATAAGACAAGGATATTAAAGGTTCTACCCTTTCTTTAACTGCTCCACCTCAAACCTCACAGTTCTGACTTCTGTCATCAACATTTTGACATCTCCAAACTTTCATTTATATATTGTTCTGTTACCATAGTTAAATTGTTTGCGCTACAATTATAGATTCAGTCTAAAAGCTGAAAAGTCAATAAACAGGGTTTACTTTTTTGTACTATAGAATTCTAGTCTGGGAATTATTTCCTCTTAGAATTTTGAAGGTGTTGCTCCATTGTTTGCTAACATGTAGTTTGGCAAATAAGATGTCTGTTGCCAGTCTGATTCTATTTTGGGGAGTGAGGTTGGGAAGAATGCCGTTCCCAAGTATTTTATCCATAGGAGATAGTGTTATGGCGCGAACGATTCTAAGACCCACAGAGCCAATTGAGATTAATTATGAGCCTTTATTAGCCGGCCGACAACTGACTCTCTACCACGCAGGTAGAGAGTTTTCAGAGGAGGCAGTTTATAAAGTCTCCAACTACATCCTTGAATAAGCAGATTACAAGAAGCAGAAGTTAGCCGTTAACGTTTTGTACAAAGATAAATGTATCTGGGGGACTCTCAGATCAAACAGGGCGTAGTAGACAGTTTAATCGTCTGCACCTTGAAATGTTCATTCATGTTGTAGGTGTCAGAATTTCAATCCTTTTAAGACTGAATAATATTCCATTGTGTATTGTTAAAGAGAAAGCCACAGGCCCAAAATGACATCACTTGTGCTAAAGCCCATGATACCAAACCTAGATTTAAAACTTGACCTAATTGTGTTACAGAACACAGAGTTCATCCACCTGGCTCCAGCAGAGCCAAACACTAAACATGGAGAATTGCAGTGGAAAAAGACTGGCTGTTTATTATGAATGGTGCCACCCAGGATAATGGAAAGTTAATGCTCAAAAGCCTGAACTTCTCAATCGTTTACAGACAAAGGGTTTTCTAGAGCAAATTCATGAGTCATCACGAGTAAGGAATTTGGGATGGTGTGTCTTGCTAATTGGCCAAGAGTGAGGTAAAGGCACTAAATCTTTTCAGGTCTTGAGGTCAGCTTTGGCATCCCTCAGTCTGGTTTCATGGAGACAAGGCCAGGGGTCATTCTGATTTAGAGCTCAAGAGCTGAAATACAACTTAGGCCATGATATCTTTAGCTTAACAAGAAACCACACCTTGTAAACCTAAGTCAAGGCACAGTCATTGTTTTGGGCTGCCTCGGGAGATTAATGACTAGTAAGGAAGGAAAGGGCTAAGGCCTACAGGGCATACTGTAAAGAAACCGAATAAAGCATTGGAGCAACATATTAAATAAAAATCAAATATTAAATCAAGACCCTCGGTTTTATCTATTAATCTTTTTGTTTTTTCACAACGGGGTTTTGCCCTGGCTCTCTGTTATCCTAGAGGGCCTCTCCAGGGTTCTTTTGTCATACTAATACCCTCCCTCCCTGTGGGCATCTTCCTGGCTTGTGGCTTGTACTCTAGATAACAGCCTTACCCACCACCATTCCTCTTTCTGCTTTCTATCTATTAGAAATTCGTCCATATCTCTCTACCCTCATTTGCTTTAATGTGGGAAACTTGTTCCTTTTATTCTATTGCCATCATTTTAAAGGAATAAATGTAAGCAAGGACGTAGGAAAAAGAGAACCCATGTTCACTGTTGGTGGGAATGTAAATTGATGCAACCACTATGGAAAACAGTCTGGAGGTTCCTCAAAAAAGAAAATTAAAAATAGGACTACCATATGATCCAGCAATCCCATTTCTGGGTATATTTCTAAAGGAAATGAAATCACTATCTGAAAGAGATACTGCACCCCTAGTTTATTGCAGCATTATTGATAATAACCAAGACATGGAAACAACCTATGTATCCCTCGATGGATGAATGGATAAAGAAGATGTGAGATATTTGTGTACACACACACACACACACACACACACACACACACACACACACAAACTTGAATATTATTTGGCTGTGAAAAAGGAAATCTTGCCATTTGTGGCAACATGGATGGACCATGAGGCATTATGCTTAGTGAGATAAGTCAGACAGAGAAAGACAAATATAATCTCTTATATGTAAAATCTAATAAAACTGAATTCATAGAAAAAAATAAATGTAGATATTGAGAAAGAGGAAAGATAAATGTAGTCAGTCTGCCATTTGAACCTGAAACCTCTTCCCCTTTATTTAAAACTATTTTATCAGAACAAACATATAAATCAAGCCTCACTGTCTTCATCTTCAAGTGCTCTTGTGAACCCTTCTCCTGCTTTGGACATAAAAGCTGAAATAAGGCACTATATTTAAGTTTGGAAATCAATGGGACATGATGGGGTTCACTTGCTCTATCCTCCTGTCACATAAAAGGTGGTAGTTTTTGACTCAGGCTCTTCCCTAAAATCCAGGGCCACCAATATCAACTATGGCAAAATAGAGGCCACAGGTGTCCACACCCTAAAATTTCGATCCTATCTGCATTATCAGGTGTCCAAAGACCTGTTTGCCCCCAAGAACTCCCAGTGAGACTAATTTCCAGAGTTATGGATTATATTAAGGTATTATTTCTTCTTGGGGATTCCCATGGAGCACAGTTTGAGGGAAGATGGAGAAAAACATCACCTATTGTACAACTGAGGGGCGGGGAAGGGGCAGCTGGATTTTCACCCTGCAGGGCAAAAAAGCTAAGAAGGCTTTACATCTACTGGTATTTTTTCCTCCCGAGCACTAAACCTTACATTTATTCTTATTCCTAGGATAAAAGTTAAGACATTCTATTCTGTCTCATACTTTACCAAAAGATTCTGTGTTCTAAAGGAATTTAAAAATAACAGCACCAGGAAATCCTGTACTTTTAAAACAGAAATCTTCCAACGTTCTCTCCTTGATGAGGGTATGAAGTCATCAGCACTAGCCTTTCAGGAGTTAGGTGGCAAATCTGGAGGTTGACAACAGCATAAGCCTTTCATAAATTGGTACTGTTTTCCTTGGGAGAGATTTCAGTTGAGTCTTTTATCTGCTAAGTGGCCAGCCTTTTGCTTTCCTCCTTCTTCCCTTGTCTCTATTCCTTTGTCTTCAAGTCGGCTTTGTCTGCAACGTGGCTTTAACTTTGTATTTTCTACTAATTGGTCTCTTAGCCCAGGAAAAAAAAATGGTGCCTGGTCCCTGCCTCGGTTTTCTGTGGCTCAAGTGACACATCCCCATTTTGGATTTCATATTTTGAAGGATGGGAGAGAAATGATGTGCCTAAGACTACTTGCTTCTTCAGAAAATGTAGTCCAATTATGAACTAGAAGCCCACTGCTTTAAGTAAAGCAAAAAAATAGAAGTGTTTAATCTTACTTTCAACTTGTAGAATCAACATGGGAAAAAACAAAAAGAAAATATGGAAAATTGTTGATTGATTGATATCTATTCAATAAATGCATACTTTTTTTTTAAGCGACTGTTTTTAAACTTTTCATTTGTGTTTCAGTCATTAACTTTCTTTGTTGGGTAAATTTCTTTTCCTTTTGTATTTAAGAGGGAAACAGAATAAAATAGTCATTCAACATTTTCTTACCATCTTTTGTCAGCCATTTAAAGTTTCCTAAAACATTCTTCTGTAATCAAAATCCTGTTATGAATAAATAAGCTAGATTGTCTTCCTGTGAAACCTCAGGAAGTTCCTTCCACTTTACACACTTCACAGAACAATGTAAACACCTTTCAAGTGAAACCCTCAATGAAAGCTTTTTATTGATTTTCATGAAACCATGTGGTTTCACAGGCAGTTAACTGGCTGTGGTTCTTTTAAAACCAATCACCTCCAAAGAGTGCTTACTTCAAGGGATGCATCATATAAAGTGGATTTAAAAGAAACTGACAGGAATAGTCTCTTTAAATACACATTGAAAATATACAACACAAAGTGCTCTTTTTTTTAAAGAAATAGGCTCACCTCTTGTATTTCCCTTCAGGAAATTAATTAAAATGGATTAACCAGGAAAACTGAAGAGAGTGCAGGCTCTGTCTTTAGTCTCCCCCTGCCCTAATCTCTAGCCTGTCTGAATGTGTTTATTTGAAATCAGGATATGAAAAGTTTTTTGGATTGAGTTTTAAAACCAAAGAAGTCAGAATAATTTTCCTTGGTATGCAGAACAGAAATGAGCTATTTTCAGAAATGTTCTTTAAAGTTCATAATAAAGTTGAATAGTGACTGTAATGATTATTTGCCTGATCTACCCAAATATTTACTTAATAAGGGAAGAAAAGGGAGACTTTCAAAACTCTACTCAAAGACTATTGCAGATTTTAATTAAGTTACAGAGGCAAAGCCTTTCTAAACATTGTCACTGAGTTTTCTTAACAAAAAGGTTAACTCAAAACCTGAGTATACATGCTATAACTTCAAGATGGGAGTGGGAGGTAGAAATATATATATTTTAATATCAATACTACACATACATACATACATACATACATACATACATGCATGCATACATACATACATTCTCCCCATGGATTCTAAGACTAGCCCCCTAATCCAAGAGGCCTTAAAAAAAATTAATTTGTTCCCAGAAGGGTTGAGTGATGATTAAAAGCCTGTTCAACCCTCTATCCTCTTCATTAATTTGGAATTTGGGTTCCCTGGGGTGTTATAAAGGAGTGTTTTCCTTTCTATTATCTATACTCAAAAGGCTTAACAAACAAATTAATAATGTGAAATAGATTAAAGGGAGAATCTTTAAAATACTGAGGCAAAACTCTTAAAGCACCACTTAAGTGCTGAAGAATCATTAGCTTTTCATACTTACAAAATAACTGGTGATCATTGCAAAAGATTTCTCTGGCTGCCTAAAGCATCTTCCCTAAAAATCTCAACCAGGCAACACATTGTTAGCTTATTCGCA